GGGGGGACACTGCTGGGGACACCGCTGTAGGGACTGGGGACATCAGTGTGGGGCAATGGGGACACTCGTGGGGTCATGGAAGGGGCTGGAACTGGGGGCACTGCTGTGGGGCACTGGGGCCACTGCTGTGAATGGGCTGGCGTGTGGGGCTGGCACTGGGGACACCGATGGGGACACTGGGGACTGCGTGGAGAGGGATACGGAGGCGGCGAGCGGGGACCCCGGGGGCACCGGTCTGTGTGCGGAGGGACCCAGGGGCACTAACGTGTGGGGCAGGGACGGGGCACTGATGTGTGGGGCAGGGACAGGGCACTAATGTGTGGAGCCAGGGACAGGGCAGTGACATGTGGGGCAGGGACAGGGCACTAACGTGTGGGGCCAGGAACAGGGCACTGATGTGTGGGGCAGGGGGTTCTGGCATGTAAAAATGTGCTGAGGAGGAGGGACATCCCTGTATCCCTCAGCGCCAGGGAGCGAGAGGCTCCTATGGAGCCACCAGGAACGGAGCAAGTTCCTTGGGAATGATGTCAGTGTGTGTATATATAAATATATAAATATAAATATATATATATCTTACCCACGAGGAAGGGCACAGGCGCCGAGCAGGGAGTCGCTTCTTCCCTTCTAATAACTTTGCTGCTCCGCAGGATTTGCGGAAAAACGGACGGGAAAAAAGGCAGCTCAGCGGGAGAATGTGGGATTCTGGGGAAAACAAGGAAAGGAGGGGTTGGAAACGGGGCAAAAGTGGGAAAGAAACCGGGAAAGGGCCTCTCTGCTGCAGCCTCGTGCCTGGGAAGGAGCAATAGTGGTTGGGAAGTGCTGTCTGCTGAGAATCTCCATTTTTTGGGATATTTAGGTTTAAATTGGAAACGGTGGTGAGAACCTATTGCAACAGCAGTTGAAAATGTTGAATAGAAAAAAAATGGGAAAATTTGGGGGGAAAAAAAAAGTTTTAAAAATATTAAAGAAAAGACCTTGATCGCTATTGAAAATAGCAACCTGCACTGGGCGCATTCTTGGCTTTTTTGACTCATTTGTGTGTTTTGGGGTCGGAGATGAATATTGCACCAATTCGCTATTGAGGGCAGTGAAAATGCAGGAAAAATTCCAACGGGGGCAAAAGGGATCGGGTCACCCCTAGGAATGCCATGGAGCGGAGAGTTATCCGGGATTCCCTCAGGGAAAGATCATTGAGGGATCCGAATCCTTGGGAAATGTGCTGACTTACGTGGATTTGTATCCAAGAGAAGGTTTTGAGGGAGAAGATTCCAGCAGCTCTTCCGCAAGGAGGGATAATGTCCATCTCCGACCTGGAAAACCATGGGATAAACCTCACGCTCCTTCTCCGGGTCCTGAAGGATTCCTGCATCCATAGGGAGCACGAGGTGCCCTGAGGCCTTCATGGAAACTTCTCGGCTTCTCCGAACGTGGCACCTTTAAAAAAGAGATCCATGTTTTTGCTGGGAATATGGGAAAGGCCAATGGGAATGACCAACATAGAGACCACAAGTTCTCTTTGCTTTAGTGACAGCTACGGCCCCAAAACTTGGCGTTTTACCATGGTTTGTCCCCAAACGAGGGACGTTGTGGCCTCTCTGAGCCTCCGGACTGGGGTTTTCAGCTCCTTCTCCAAAGGTATCCGTGTTTTTTCCACGTGCACTTCCACACGTTTGCGTTTTCCCAAGGCCTTCATCCGTCTCCAACGAAAAACGGCCAACTCAAAGCCAACGAGTTTGGGTTTAAAACGGGCAAAAGAGCGACT